ACAGATCAAACCCTCTTTTGGGATTTAATCTTGGTCTGTAGGATCAGGGCTTGAATGAGTCACTCATAATTATACAAATACTGGGAAAGGGAAATGTGTGCTATCTACACAGAGTGAAAGTTAACATTAGGGTATTTGTTTTTTGATAAACTCCTACATGTTTTTTCACTCAGATTTTCCTGTCACGCCTTAAAATGTATTTATTAAGTTGATATGAAGGAAAATAAATCCTCCCATGCTGACTTTCCCATCTGCATGCTTTATATCTGATGACAAATTCACTACATATTACTTTCTGTTAAAAATGTAACAATTCTCTGCAATGAGTATAGAGTTTGGCTGAAGTCAAGATGCTGCTCTTCTTTGGCTGTGGTTTCATGTTTCTTTCTTCCTTATACCTCATGCATGGAATTTGCAATCAAGAAATCAGAAATATGATCAGTTTCAGTTTAAGAAAAGGTGCAGGTCACCTGTATTTACGAGGCATACCAACAAAACCATACACAGTAAATAGATTAAATGCAGATGTACTAGATAATCTTTCATTCTTCCCAAACTGCAACATTAGAAGACATATGTATTCAATACAATTCATGAATCTGAGCTCTATCCCATGCCTGGGCTGCAGGAGATCCCATTTATGGGCTATGCCTGCTGTGATACATTTACATCAAATGCCTGTGGCCACCTGCACTGACCATATTTCCCATGTGTGGGATTTCCCAGGCTGGCACATCTGAGAGGGCAGGGTAAGGCTCCCAAGCAGTCCTTTTTTCCCTGGCAGAATCTTTGCATACCATTTTGCCCACCTAGCCTTTTAATTTTATTTTAATTTTATTTATGTATTTGACCTGTTGAAAGAAGTGCAGTGGCAGAGTAAACACGCTAAGGATATAACATAAAAGGGGACAACTACTCTAGAAAAAAATGTACTCCACTCTGGGGGATGCCTTTGAGAGCTGGGATCCTGTGGATCCCAAAACAATGCATTTCATGGCTCAGCTTTCTTTCCCTACAACCAGTGACAGTTTGTTTCAGAGGCTCTGTGGTGAATGCAGCCTAGATGTTTGGCATTTTTCCAACTCTGTCTAAACTGGGCTTACTGCCAGCAGGTTGTACCAGTAAATCATTAACTGGGGCACCCAAAAGCAAGTTTTATTTCGCTGAACTAGTTGTAGCCAAAATGTGGTCATTTGTTTCAAAATGTTTGTTGCATTTTTTAAATAAAAAGCCACAGGGGCTGTTGTTTTCATCTGGTTTCCTTATGACACAGATTGTAAGACTTTGCTTAATTAATTCCTGCTAGAACTGGAGCTTGTCTTCTAGACAACATCTGGACTTGATTACTGTGTGCTGCATGTTTTGATTTCTTCCCTTAAAGACCAGATATTTATCAAATTCAGTGACTTGTAAATAGAACCCCCTGGTTCAATTCCTGATCTGCAAATTCCAGGGTACCTAGGGTAGAGAAAATAATTGACTCTTGCCCACATGTAAAATTACTGAATTGGGGAGATACTTCTGAAATGGCCTCAAAAGAAAACCAATCTATGTAAGCAGCCTCCATTCATAAGATCTTGATGGTTCAAGCCTTAAAAATGTTGGCCAGCAGCATTTCAACTGGTCAATCCCCAACTATATTTGGATTGGAAATTTTGTAGTTGCACTGCTTTGATAGATAATAGGATTTTCTTGGACTGTTTTATAAGGTGAGGTACAGTAAAACATTAAATAACACTATTGTCAAGTCCTCTGTTATTTCATCCAAACTTGCTTCCTGTGAACCCTTCTACATCCTTAGCACAATAAATCCGGAATAAATGCATTTCAATTTAGACTCTGCATTTGCTATGGTAGCAACACTAATAATAAATATCTTATCTGAGCCAGTTAATTTGCAGCAGATATCCAACTGAAGCACACTTTTCATTTTGTGGGTGTGGAAGGTGAGACACAGAACAGATGGTATTTGAAGCCTGGGGCCCACCTGGCAGGCATGCTGCTGGGAACAGGAACGGGCTGAAAGGTGGAAGGGATTGCCACAGGACACAAGATGACCACCACTGAGCCTGGGGGCAGACCCCAGCACCTCACCATCGTCTGTGTCCCCTTGCAGAGCTCTGCATCCCTGCTCTGCATCCAGGCAGCCCGCTCAGGCTGCTTCCCACTGCCCTGGAGACACCCTGGAGCAAAGGCAACATGACTCTGCTCCACCCGCAGAGATGTGATTCCTCCTCCACCCACCCCAGCTCTGCTGTCTGTTCTGGATGAGAATGAGGAGATTTTGGGCAAGTCCCCACCTTTTTTACATTGTCCCATTTAAAGTGGTTTGCACCTCAGACAGGAGCAGGAGCCAAGAGAAACTGTGCTCCTGTCTTTGCAGGGTCTGCTAATGGTGAAGACCTTTGTGTTCCACTTCCTTCTCAATGAATGGATCTGCAGGACAACTCCTTCAGCACCGCATTTCTCTCTTTATCTAAAGAGTCAGAGGCCCAAGGTCAGACAAAGGCCTTCTGGAGCTGACCAGTATACACGGGGCATGTTTCTTGTACCACTTTTTTCTTTCATACAGTCAGTCCCCAGGGAATTGCATAGTTTGGGATACATCTAAACTGTCTTAATGGTCTACTTGAGAAACAAAGCTCTGTGAGGGTGGTCCCAGATGCGGGGCAGAGCATGTCAGACAGTGTGGGCTCCTGCAGATGGGGCTGAGAATGCTTGAGTCTGATGGTCAGTGCTTGAGCTCTCTGCAGACGTGGCTCAGCAGGTGGGCCCTGGGCTGGCCACAAGGCAGCCATCCACAAGAAAAGGGAGAAATTCCCACACACACAGGTAGCTGCCCCTGTGGCCTCCTATCAAAGCCTGTGTAAGCTCACGGGAATGTGCTTCTCTTAACCCTTTGCATCAGAACATAAAGTTCTCAAAGTGTTAGAGTTGTGTCTCAAGAGAACCAGGAGTGAACCATGTCGTCTTTGCTGCTGCTGGAAGAAATATGATTCCTCACACATAATTTGTTTTAATCTGACTCATTAAAAAAAAAGATATATAGGATAGAGGGTCAGGCATCACTTTTTATTATCGTCTAATTTACTGACAATATCCTTCCTGTCTACATCCCGTGTGAATTCCCTAGGCAGGAAGATAGCTCTTTCTCAAGCCACATACTTTGAACCAATATTCTTCATTTTTACCACATCAGCACTGTAGAGAGTAAGTATATTACGTTTTAATCAGCTTAGGATTATGTTGGAGGCTTCTTTTCCTGCTGTGCTCAGCTCAGTGACCAGCAGTGAGGAGCTCTGTGCTGCATCTGCTCTTGCTATGCATGTGCATTGTTTCAGCTCCAGTGGAACTTCCACTGCCGTCCAGGTCTTCTAGTCACATTATAAACCTTTAAAAAATTGTATACAGAATATTGTTTACTAACACGTGGTGCTTAGTAGGCAGCTGAAACATCCTCAAAATCCTGATGATTACGCACACACCAGCACACAGGGCACCCTGGTGCTGGGATTCCACCTGCCCCGTGTCAGCAGGAGCGCTGAAGGAGCTCTGGCCCGGAGCCCCCCAGGAGCAGCCGCTGTGTCCCCGTCCGTGCTCCCGCTGCGGGCCAGGGAGTGACGGGGCACTGGAGGCCTCTGCGCGGTGACCCGACGGCCCTCAGCGGGACGCTGCGCGTTTTGAACTGAGAAGCAACAAAATGAGGGCAGACGTGAAGACGAGGAGCCTGAAGTGGCCGAAGGAAGAAAGAAGCTACATGAGAGATGTAGCTTCTTTCTACATGAGCCGGGCGGCCCGGCGCTTTGTCCCGCGGGCAGCCCACGCGGCGTGCCCGTCCGCAGTGCTGCATCTGCTCTTGCTATGCATGTGCATTGTTTCAGCTCCAGTGGAACTTCCACTGCCGTCCAGGTCTTCTAGTCACATTATAAACCTTTAAAAAATTGTATACAGAATATTGTTTACTAACACGTGGTGCTTAGTAGGCAGCTGAAACATCCTCAAAATCCTGGTGATTACGCACACACCAGCACACAGGGCACCCTGGTGCTGGGATTCCACCTGCCCCGTGTCAGCAGGAGCGCTGAAGGAGCTCTGGCCCGGAGCCCCCCAGGAGCAGCCGCTGTGTCCCCGTCCGTGCTCCCGCTGCGGGCCAGGGAGTGACGGGGCACTGGAGGCCTCTGCGCGGTGACTCGACAGCCCTCAGCGGGAGGCTGCGCGTTTTGAACTGAGAAGCAACAAAATGAGGGCAGACGTGAAGACGAGGAGCCTGAAGTGGCCGAAGGAAGAAAGAAGCTACAAGAGAGATGTGGAGCGCCGAAAGCTCCATGAGCCGGGCGGCCCGGCGCTTTGTCCCGCGGGCAGCCCACGCGGCGTGCCCGTCCGCAGGGGCCGCCCCACGCCCCACGGCTGGGCTCAGCGCCTCTGCGCGGTGACTCGACAGCCCTCAGCGGGAGGCTGCGCGTTTTGAACTGAGAAGCAACAAAATGAGGGCAGACGTGAAGACGAGGAGCCTGAAGTGGCCGAAGGAAGAAAGAAGCTACAAGAGAGATGTGGAGCGCCGAAAGCTCCATGAGCCGGGCGGCCCGGCGCTTTGTCCCGCGGGCAGCCCACGCGGCGTGCCCGTCCGCAGGGGCCGCCCCACGGCTGGGCTCAGAGGGACCTCGCGGATCACCTCGATCCAACGCCCTGCCGGACAGCGGCACCTTGCACAGCCCAGCCTGCTCAGAGCGCTGAGCAGAGTCCAACCCGGCCTTCAGCACCACCACGGCCGGTCCCGGGACAGGGACACGGACAGGACCCGGAGCCGGGGCCGGGGCCGGGGCCGGGACCACCACCAGCCCCGTCCAGGCCCCGCCGCTCCCAGGGGCCCCGCCCACGTCCGCGCGCAGGCGCGGGCGGGTCCGTGTCTCCCGGCGTGCGCGGGGCGCAGGCGCGGCGCTGCTGGTCGGGCTGGGCGAGCGGGGAGCGGCGGCCGCCCGGGTGAGGGGAGCGGCTGCGGCGGGACGGGACGGGGGTGCCGGGCGGAGCCGGGCCGGACTGGGCTCGGGTGGGCAAGCCCTCCGTCCGCCGCGGCGGGAGCCCGGTGGGAGGAGGAGGACGGAGCTGGGTTGACGCCCGCCCGGCCGGACCCCGGCGGCTCAGGGGGGCCTGAAGCCCCGCTGGTGCTGCGGAACGGGGCGGTCCGGCCGGGGCGGCGGTGGGCCCGACAGCGGGGTCCTGCCCGGGCAGCCTCCCGGGCGGTGGGCGCGGGGCTGAGGGGCCGGGGGAGCTGCGCGGCGCGCCCGGCTGCGGGGCTGGGCTGGGTGTTCAGCCAGCGCCCCGCTCGCGGAGACTTCGGAAACTTCGCCTGTGGAGCTGGTGCCCGTAATTCCTTCAGTTTGCTGCATGTGTTTGCCACGGCTCTCAGCGCTGGGTCCCCGCGGTCGGTGACGGAGGGATGCCTTTCCGGGGCGGGGTGCGCTCCGTGCCCCGGGCCCGGCGGCTCCGGAGCCTCCCGTTCGCCCCGGCACAGGGCTTGTCCCGGGAGCTGCGCACGGAGCTTGGGGTGCTGCTCTGAGAGCCTGGCGCTCTGCGGGTAGGCGCCAGTTGTGTTGAAATAAGTCATGTTCTAGGGAGGTTGCCGTGTACTTTAAGTTTGCTGCAATGTATTGGATCAATCCTCATAACTAAAGTTTGGTTATTAGGTGTCAGGTGTAGAGAGCTTGAGAGGCAGCCAGCGATGAAAGGGAGGACCTGAAACTGACTTGTACTCAGAAGTTTTCCTGAAGTAATAGAATGGAAATGAATTAAATTTCTTCTGCTGTTCTGTTCCAGGCTTGTAAGTTTTGCCACTTTTCTGCAATGGATGAAAGATAACTGAATGTGTCAATAAACATTCAGGTAGCTTGCATCTGAAGTTTCTTTTTGACTAAGACACCAGCAGGCAATTCCTCCAGGAGCAGACACTGTATATTAATGGGCAGCAGGTTTCTATCGAAGAACATCCAGGTATTTTCTGAAAAAAAAATTATGCTAAATATCCCACATCCTGGCCAGTCAGTAGCTTCCTGCATGTTAGGAGGGGGAATGGACAGCTGGAGTGGTGATTCCTGACTGAGGAGCTTCTTGGGGCACCTGGGATTTTTATCTTATCCCAGCCTTGTATTTATTTGGGATTGTAACACCTGCCCTGCAGCAAATTTGGTGAGCATGCCATGGGTGTGCTGAACTGCTGCCACTTCCATGCCCTGTGCAGCTTGCCAAAGCTTGGCTTTGGGGCTCCTGGCCCTGTCACCCCTGCCTTTGCCTGGGCTGACTGGGTATGTGTGTTTAGCCCTGCAGTGTGGGTGACCAGTATTCAGGAACAGGCACACAGGAATAAGTTTTTATGAGACAATGCCAACTTGATGGCAGCTTAGCCATCACTTGGAGCACCCTGTCTGCAAGAGAGCTGTGTCCCAATTCTGTGTCATTGTACACAGGATGTATAAATGAGCAAAGTGGGCTTTGGTCGCAGGTGCCCTCTGATACAGAGGAGGAGCTTGCAGGAGCTGGAAACACAGATGTGTTCAGAGTTCCTTCATTATGGAAGCATCTTCATGGTCTGTGTAGTTACTCTGCAGTAACTGCCTGTCCCCCTCCACTCCCTGGATCACTCTGTGGACAAATGTGAAATTAGAGAAGCTCAGTTTGCCATGTATAAAGCTTGGTAAATTGTTTCTTTGAACAGAAGGAAGCCTTGGGCTTGCTTTTCTAGGAAAATAGCCCAGAATAGTTGTGTCTTCTGCCTGGGAAACACAGTTTACCCTGAGGTGTAGGCAAAGGCCAGCTGCCACCTGCTGGCTCCAGGAGGCTCTGGGCTGGGGGTGCCTGCTCCTTCCCGGGGCAGGACAGCCCGGGTCCTGTGCCCTACCCCAGGCTGGGGGTGTGGAAGCCTCAGGTGGCTTTCTGAAAGCTTTCTGATAAGAAAGATAGTATTGGGCTGTTCGGCAGACTTATAAGGCATTACAAAAATATCCTAAGGAACCTGCTGGGAGTATGGTAATATTTATATTTACTGATTTTTCTCCTTTAGTAAGTAAAGATAGCTCTTTCAAGTGCAGTACATTCTTCATAAACAGTTCTGTATAATCTTGCACACTGGAAAATAGAATTGTTGCCATCATAGGGGTTCCCTGGGGAAATGCTCAGATTAGGCTCCTCCAAGCAGCTGGGAGGGTCTGGGGCCCTGAGGGGTGCAGGAATGCTGACAGCCCTGCAGACCCCCCTGCTCCAGACCCCCTGCTCTACCGGGGTCACCCAGAGGCTGGGGGAAGGAGGCTCATGAGGGACAAATGAGATTAAAGTGAGCTCTGAATGTGCTGGCCAAACCCAGCTGAGTTTGTTTTTCATGATGTTGCTTCTATTTTAAAATTCAAGTCATGGAAGCCATTTACAGTGGACTTTAACAACACTGACGCTTCCTGTGGGCAAGTTATATCTAAAGACTTTCTCCTGTTTGTGTCCCAAGAAATTATGTTCTTGAATATGACAAATTTCAGGGGGGGAAAGGGGTGGAGTTTTGAAAGATAATTGGAAGCTTGCTATTTTTATAATCTTCTTTTAAAAACATACTTTCAGAGAGGAGGGGAGAAAAAAAAGTTTTGACTTGTGCATAAGAAGTGTGTGAAAGTTGTTTGACAGTGTTTTAAGTGATTATTCAGGTAATGGTATATAAAATGACATAAAGTTACTGCTGTTTTCTCATTTCTTTAGTTCTTCATTGATTTCCCAGGCGTGGGAATAATGGCAAGATGTTTTTCTCTGTGATGTCCAGCAGAATTTCTTCCTTTCTGGTTTTTCAGCTTTTCTTCTGCTTAACAATCAGGGACTTGATATTTGATAGACTGGAAGTGATGGCTTTATTTCCATTTCTCTAAATGTGCCTATGAAGTTGCTGGAGAACTTCATGTTACAGTTATATATCTGAGAAAGAATATTAACTCTTTGGACTTTTATACAATAGTTTCATGGTAAAGCTAAGAAGGATACTTAAAAGTAAACTAGCTCTGCTCATGAAAAAAGGGCAAAGTATTTGCAAAGCCAAAATTGATGGTTATGGGTTTTCCCCCATGATTTTGCATTAAGCACACACGTATCCATATATATATATATATGTGTGTATGTGTATATATATAAAATGTGCCACAGTATTCACAGGCCAAGTAACTGCTCCTTCTAAAAGCTTGTAGTTTGTTATGCCTGTGTCTCTATGCTGAGCTGCTGCAGCGAGTGATGGAAAGCAAATAGAGCACTAAGTGTGTTTAATGGGAGGTGAAAGGCTTGTTTGATTAGATTAGGGCTTTAGCTGGCCTTTATGCCCTTTTTAGGCAATGAGAATTCCTTACACTATGTTTTAAAACCTGATTTTTAGCATGTTGTATGCAAGTGTTGTATATGCTGTGTTTTGTAGGGAATGTTTCTGAGAGTCATTGCCAAGCAACCTCAGTGTGCTCACCAGTGCTACCATCATACAATTTAAAGGTGTCTCACATTAAGGATGCTTTCATATTTTAAAAGAATATTCCTGATAGGTATTAGAAAATATGTCCAAAACCCTTTAAATTTGTATTTGCCAGGCCACATATGATTCACTTTGCGCTGAAGTGAAGCCTCAGTTACAGAAACTGGTTTTTTTTGTTCTGCTGCTTTATTTTTCACTTTTGTCTGTGTTTTTGTATGTGTGAACACTGTACCTGAGGATTTGACTTGACTTCTTTTGTTGTATACAAACAAGTGTGACTAAGGGTTGTGACCTGAAAATTAATTAATATATTACAAAGGATGAGTAGTTTTCCAATATGAAACATCCCAATGCAGTAAATAAAAGGTAATTAATTCTGGATGACAGCATTTTGTGGCAATTAATGGAGAGGAAATACAGATGATGTTGATGAAGATAATGTATGGTTATGCAGTGCAACTCTCTTTCAGAGTAAGGGCAGCATTATTCTGCAGCTTACTAACCATTCTGCTCCTTGTAATTACCTGTTAAAACTGCACCTTTTAATATTTGAATGCAAATGGACATGCAGAAATGTGGTAAATAGCAGTGTCTTGGTGTAGGGCTCGGATGGTGCAGCCTGGTCACAAAGAGTGATGTGTAATGAGCTGCAGGAAATGTTTTTCTCCTGTGATCCTGTGTAATGGCTTGAACTGTAAGGAAGGGCAGAACATTAAGGCTCCAGGAATGAGAAGTTCACATGCAGATTGTGTGGCATCAGCTAATTGTCCATCAGCTGCTTGCACCTGGAGAAACAAATACTGCCAGACTCTGAAAACTGTAGGAGGTGGCTCTCTAGGCCACAGAGTCACTCCTTTAATTACTTTTGGAACTTAGGAAAACATAGGTGTGCTCTGCATTTTTTGCAGCACAGCCAATAAATTGGATGTCCCTAGCTCTGTAGCCTCTTGCAAAAGGTCTGGCTTCTTCCCACATTATTTGGTTTAGTTCAGAGGAAGCCAGAGTTCTTTTGATGTAATTTACCACAAAAGTGAGAATTCCTCCTTATTTTTGATAGAGCTTTGCAAAGGTCAGCTTCGGTCCCATTAGTGTAGATCAACTGCAGTTCACAATAAAGCCCTTCTGTTTATATCAGCAATACTTTTTAACAGCAGACATCCTGAAAATAGCTGAATATATATTCCTCATTCAGGTGTAGATGTTGATAGGACCTGGAAATTCACTGTTCTTGCAAAGGCACTTGTTAAAACCAGATTAATTTTACAGGTACACTTGACTGAATGGTGTGGATGAACCTCTGTGTGCTCAGTCTGTTTAGTGTCTCTGAATTAAAATGTCACCATTTGTAACTGTGGCAGCCAGGGAGACCTTTCTGGATGTAAACAGCTGAGGTGGAGGAATCCTGTGTGAAGGATTCCATGGTATAGCATGTGTATATACTGCCTGCCTTTTCTTGCTACTTAAGAGGCAATGACTAAATTGTTCTGGTTTTGAAGGACAGTGTAAGTGTGGATTTGAAGTAATGCAGTTGTATTTATGGTGTGAGCATCTGTCCTTGGATAGGGGCTACTGGAGAAAAAATGATTTTTACTGCGTGCCTGCTCTGTGTTATTTCTATAGAGCCAAAAAAAGGGTTTAAGGAGACTAATGAACAGGAATGTATACATTTAGCTTTTGCTTCCCAAGCACCTTATGGACTCTTGCTTATTTGCAGAGAGACATCACAATTACCTTTTGTTTGTGTGGTCAGCTTTGAAGCAAGAATTTGGCTGAACAAAATGAGAGTCCTAGAACTTGTTTCAGAAAAATGAGAGGAAACAACTTGTCTTCTTGAACACTGATGGGATTAACTGGTTTTTCCATGAGAAATGCTCAAAAATTGTGGGTGTTAGAAAAGATGTTCCCTGCCCTCTCCTTGTCTGTGAGAAGTGCTATAGAGACTGTACATTTTGAGGGACCCTGGTTTCCTCTAAGTATAACACTTAGTGACCAGTTTATTAATTTTTTTTTTAATTTTTAATTTTTTTTAATTTCATTTTTTATGGTCATAGGATTGACTGGAGTGCTGCCACTTAGAAGCTGTATTTCCTATGCTTTTCATCAAGCTATTGTAATTTTCCTTGGACAGAACAGAATGTTGTTTCAATGGTAGTGCTATAATTAACTTGGAGGCAAACTTCCTTTGTTTCCTCTGTAGGTAATATGCAAGGGTATGAGTCAGTAATAACCAATTACCTTGTTTAGAGGAAGTTATCCTTAAGTGCCCTTGAGCTGCTGTAGCAACAATAAATGTGGAGCATCTTAACTCTTCTTTTGGCTTCATTCTGTATAAAAAATGAAAGTGTTAAACTGGACTCATAAATAGTAGGGTCTCCTCTCTCCTACAACCTTCCCTGCTCTGTGGGAATTATGGCTTTGGTGTTCTTGTCAAGAGGACTGGGTATTAAGTTTGATTTGCAAATAGATATAGCTTAATTAGATATAGTTTAATTACTGATGGGCAAAGACATGGTGGGACAGGATTCTCATCAGTGAAGAAGCACAGCTTCCAGGTGCTCCTGTAGCTGTAGAGCAGCAGATACCAGCCCTGGGTGACAAAGCTTTCCTTTCACAGGTGTACGTGGAGGTGAAGATGCTTTGTGGTTGGGATATTTACCTTAACTTTGCTTATTTCTTTTTAAAAGTTTTTCATAGATCTGGATAAGATTTGAGACTTGGTTTTGAAGTGCTTGAGGAACTTGCTACTGCCCAAGTCATGACGCTCCCATTTCGAAAGGACTTGGACAAGTACAAAGATCTCGATGAGGATGAAATTCTTGGCAAACTTTCGGAAGAAGAACTGAAGCAACTGGAAACTGTTTTGGATGATCTTGACCCCGAGGTAGGCAGTAGCCAAGAGAAGTTTTATTTTTTTCATGTGTTCCATTACTAGTCTAAAATAAATTGAGACTTTTTTTTGGACAGAGTCTTTTCCATAGCCTGCTGATGATCTCACAGATATATGTGTGTATGTAATGCTTATTTCCTGTTTGCAAGGTGGACACAACTGCAGCAAAGGAGAGGATAAGAAGGGATAGCTGGGAGGAGCTTTCCGGGATTGATTTATAAATAAGAATTGCTGTTGTTCATGTTCTTGAAAGGAAAGTTTATTTAGAAAGGCCTGTTTAACTTTCCTGTTTCCAGTGCTGTCTGGTAAACAGCCCTTTTGCATCCATGTTTATTATTTCTGCTGTGGAATTTGATGGGAGTGGGAGGATGCCAACCTCTTCTAATGATTCCTGTCCTGTATCTGGTAACTTATATCTATTCCTGTCCTCATGCTGACTTTGTGAAGAGAAGACAAGTAATTGCTAAGCTCCTGAACGATTATGTCAGCATGGGGTACTGAAACAAGAATATTACAGCTTTCTCCTACAAAGAGCTGAATTGTCCTCTACAGATATTGAGGCTAATTTCAGACTTCAAGACTTGTATTCTCACCTCATGGTTCTCTCTGGTTTTGCTTTAATAAAACCAGGATTAGTTTAATAATGATGTTCAGGGATGGGTTCAGAATATTATGATCACTTGTTTTGTTGCACTGCAAGATATCGCTGATATTTTAAATGCCTTTGGCTTTATGGATGTTTTAACAGAGGAGAACTGGCAAAAGGGCCTGGTTGTCTTTCATGGCAATTTGGAATTCCTATACATTTTGGTCATTCTGTACCAATATCCTTTTTTTTTTCTCTTTAGTTGAAATATGTTGATATTATCAAAGAAACATCCCACCTTGAGTCAGGTCAAAACCAGAAATACTGTGTTAAAATAACAGTGGAGTCAGTTGTCTTAGAGTTAAAATCACATGGATGTAAGTGACAGAGGAAATAGTCTCTTGCTGAATGTCTAAATTGTAAATAGCTGAGTTTTATTTAGTACTGCTCATTTAAACTGTGCTGATTCTAGAAATGCAAAGTAGCTGGCAAATTGAATGCTGGGAGCTATTGCACTTAAGGAATTGCTTCTATCCTACTGAGAGCAGAGTGTGCTGTATTTTAATTATATTCTCCATGTCTAGATTACCTTGTGTCCTTCCCTGCCCCAAAAAAAGGAAGTTAGCAGGGGGATCAAAGATTGCCACCAAAGATGATGCATCAGGGCTGAACCTTGCAGAGAGGGAGAAGGAAGTGGGAAATGAAACTAAGCAGGTGCTCACCCAGACTTTCTAAGCTGTTGTTCTCTGCTCCATTTGTTTTGCAGAACGCGCTGCTGCCTGCAGGCTTCCGGCAGAAAGACCAGACTGCCAAGAAGGCCTCGGGTCCCTTCGACAGGGAACGGCTCCTGGCCTACTTGGAGAAGCAGGCGCTGGAGTACAAGGACAGGGAAGACTATGTGCCTTTTACAAGAGAAAAGAAAGGTAACACCACCCCTTCCTGTGGAAGTGCTTATGAAAATCTCTGAAGTGGAGGAGCCAGAACTACCGTGAAGCGAATTTGATTGAAGCACTGGCAGCTGTAATGCTTCTAACTCGCAGCATTTCCAAATGGCTGCTACGGTGCAGGGCCAGCAACTTTCCTGTTCAGGCATTTGTGCTGCTGGGGCTGGTGTGCACTTTGTGTGTAGCACAGGAAGGAAATAAGACTCAGAGATTTTATCATAGATTGTGAAGTTCTGATGGGCATGGTATCCTCAGAGTAAGAGCTAACTCTGATTTATGTCAATAATGACAAATGCTGTCATGGTGCCTGTGGCTTATGCCTTGTGTTGAATACAGACAGCAACCTTTGTAACACTGCATTGGATTAGAGAAATAGCAGTTGACTGATGTTGTGGTAGACAGTAATGTTTGGAGATGGTGTAGGCTGACAAGGCCATACAAGTGGTGTGTGCAGTCATGGTGTTTTTCTAGCATCCTTACTGAAAGGTTTAGTAAGATTGCGTAGTTACTCCTGACTAATTATATAGTTAACATCACAAGTTTTGAAATCTGTCAGTGGTTTGTGGTCTTTTCTTAAGGGTTTGAAACCCTTTAATTGTACTTAATTCTCTGGTGTGAATCATTGCTTATTTGAGAATTGAGTCTTCATTCATCCACTGAGTTTGTGTATATGATTGTGAAGTCTATTTGGTGAAAATATTGTTTGGGGTATTTGCATTTTCTCTTCCTGTGCCAGATAGCTTTACCTGACAATGCTGGTGCCTCCCTTTTTTTCTTGAAGTAATAGAGAGATTGTGTCTTTACAGTGTGCTGCACTGTGTATGAGGGACTTCCTTCACAGAGTGTTTTTTTTCTTTATTTTGTAGCTCAGCTCCCTTTGTGTTGAGAGATAACTGTGGCACTCTTTGCTGACATCAGAATGGGAGTTGGTGACTGAACCTGTAGGAATAATCAAGTGCAGGACCATGCAATGTAGGAGATTGTAGTAGATTGTAGGAGGCAGAGGCACCCATAGCAGCAGTGCCTTCGTGGTGCCCCTGCTGCTGCCAAGTACCTGCTCATGCTGTGTTCAGCTGTGCCTGGCTTCTGCTGCTCTCCTGACACATCTGCCAGTCTGTGTTGGAGACAGACTGATGGTTAAGTGGGATTGAGTTCAGTATGTTTGGGGCTCACAGGTGGTGGGGGAATCCTTGAATCCTGTGCTCTGCTCCATCAGGGAGTGAGCTGGGCAAGGAGGATGTGCTCTAACACTACATTTCTGTTGACTGCTAGTGCTTCTTTCACATAGATGGCTCTCTAAAGTCAGCTTACGTCTACATGCACACATAAAAGTATTTGCTTGTGTAGATAAAATCTGTGAGAATCTTGCAGAGAAACAGAAGGGTCCAGCTGTAATGCAGAGCTTGGTTAAGAAAGATCAAATGTCATTTCCTTTATGTAATAAAGTATTACTAAATAGTCTGTCTGCATGTTGCAATGAGTCATACCAGTGTAGTAAAATTTCCTGTATCTCATAAAAAAAAGTTGCTATTTACTAACTTCTGTCATTTTTTTAGTGCTATAGGAGAAGAGAAAATAATATAAAAAATTAAATGTTGATTACTTTCATTAAAACTAAACATTGATTAAAACAAATGTTTAGTATCCAAATTGATGCTCTGTTGAGTGGGCAGGAGGCAAGAAGGTCAAATTCATGTTGTAGTAGGTGAGGGATAACCTTTTCTTTTCCCCTCATGAAAATATTATGGTTCAAATTTGATTTGCTGCCACATTTGTTACCATTTTGCACAAAAATGGCAAATGTAAATATTTTAATCTTTTAAATCAAGAAATTATTATATTGATGTAGATATAGAACTTGGAAAGGGCATGGGGTGCAACTTAATACTTGAGTAGGATTTTTTTTTTTAGAGAGAGCTTGTATCCTAATGTGTTTTTTATTAGTATGGAAACAGACCAACAGACAACTAAGCTGGGTTATAATTTTTCACTTCATCTAGAAATACGTGTTATGGAGAAACACTAGCAGGTTGTGGAATAAGGGTAGGTGAAAATCTTGCTTGATTCTCCTGTTCATTTAGGAGAAATGTGACAAATATAGTCTACAGTTCCAGAGGTTTTGGGAGGAGAGGGAGGGATTGGAACTGCAGCTGGTTTTTTTGGTGCCATTTTTTGGGTCAGAATTTGCTAAAATATTCCTGTGTCCCTGACTGGTCACGTTGCTCTAACTTGTTCCAATTATTCATTTCATGGAGCAAGAAGAGGGAAAATCTACCCTTCTCTTTCCTTTTTCTATTTTAGTAGAACTGATGTCCTGCATGGTGATTTGGTCTGCAGATTTATCAAAGAAGCTTACCCTAGGTTAATTTTAAATATCCTGTCTTGCTACTGGTTCTGATAACCTTGTTTTCCTATTAGAGTGTGAAGGAAAAGACTCTCTTCCAGATGCCCCAAGTAGCTAATTTTGGGGTAACATGTTATTAAAATAGTGTTGCTACTCTTTCAGTGATAGATGATGTAATTTCTCCAGATCTTTGGAACCTCTTCTGTTTTGTACTATGACATGTGGAAGATCTGAAATAATGTAATGTCCTGCTGTGGTGAAATGAACAATGCTAAAGAAATGTAAAGTTTAATCCCTAAATTATACTGTATTCAATTTTCCCAGGGCCTTGATTTTGTTTCTAAAAGCATCCTTAAAAACTTACTTTGTTTTAAAAAACGATTTGATGATTTAAGTCACATTCTGTTCCAATTAAGTGTTGAACCATACAGTTAAACCATTGTTGAAGGGATTCATGAGACCAATATGGTAATAATTGCAACAGAACTAGCTTTGTCTCAGTGTGTGTATGTAAGTACGTCATAAAGGTTTTACAGGGTATACTGCAAGGAGAAGGGGCTCTCATCCAAGCAGTCAAGCAAGGCTTCAGCACTGAAGGCTGTTGCCCTCAGGTTTGTTCCACTCATCTGAGTCTGACCAATGCTCCTCCTCCTTCTCCCTTCTCTTGGAACAGCAGAAGACAATTATTGCTGCTGAGATAAAAACATGTCTGAGATAGTAATGTACTTTGTGCTGTATAGTGCAAGGCATTAGCAAAGTGTTGTGTAAACTAAGCTCTGCATTTCTAGCCTTTGCACTCTTCTCATTGTGGCTCTCTCTTCCCTTTGCATTCCTGCCAGGGTGTGTTTGTTCTGTCTAGATTTACAGTTCATGTAACTTCTGCTTTAGGCTTGGTTTGGTTTGGTTTTCCCCTTCTCTGTCACCCAGAAAACAGAGTGAAACTGTAGCCACCTGGCTAAAGCTCTTTTGTTGGCACCCTGCTCAGTTGCTGCCCCAGATCACCATTGCCTTCTGTTGCAGCAGGATTTGGGATGCTGTGTTATCTGTTTGGCATTGAATCACTTTCAAGTCTTTAAAGGAAGCGTGTTACATGTTGTGAAGTTAAACTAATATCCTGTAGGAGCTTTGCAGAAACAGCTTGTCAAATTGATATTCTCCATACAAGAGCACTAGAACAAAATAACATGTGATACTCCAGCCTTAATGTTTCTAATTTACTGCTATGTGGCCTGTAATCAGATCAGATAGCAGATAACAGCTCTGCTTCTGCACTAAGACATTGAGGAACTCACTTGTAAGTTGAATTAAAAACATTAGTATTTAATTGTGCTTACAAGGGAATTGATAAACTTAAATCTGTTACATGGTAAGAACTGGAGATTGATGAAGTGTGGATTATATGCATTTCTGAACTAAGGAAAGCATAAAGAAAATAAAATGCAAGGGATACATCAGATGTTGCTCACTTTTTCATGAACTCAGGGATGAGAAAGGCTTGTATTCAGTTGTTCTCATGTAGCACTTGATTTGTTTTCCCAAATGGAGTGCCCCAAAAGTGGAATTTAGACTTTCTTCTGCTGTGCAAGGTGTGGCTGCCTGTTAGTGTGGGGTGTGTGAGAACAGTACCAGCAATGTGCAGTGCATGGCCCCACTGAACAGACCTGATTTCTGCAAGGTACTGAGTCCCACCTTAAATACTGTGAATCTGTGGGAAATGTCCAGGGCACTTCCATGAACACCATCCAGTATTCCTGCCTTTAGAGCAATACAGCTGGTTGGAACTTGGAACTGAAAGTTCATTCTGTAGCAGAGGAGGTCTGTGACTTAATCCTGGATGTGCATCATCTAATATGTTAGCTTAAAGGCATGGAACACCTGCCTATATAATTATTACAAAAATGATGTGAACGTCCCTGAAATTTGCCTCTTCACGTTGTATTGCTTCATCTTTGCATTATCCTGGCTGGCTGTAAGGGAGCTGTCATGTTCCTTCATGTAATCAAATCCCTGCTATTTGGAAGTGTTCCACTTGAGGGCCAGGCAAGCTGCACATCTCATGGGCTGCACAGATGTGTAGTGGTTTTTGGTTTTATTTAAAGCTTGCATTAGGAGGGGGGAAGGGACGTGCTGAACTGTATTGGCAGCAGGCCTTGAGTGAGATCATTGTCCCCAGAGACACAGGGGTCTTACCCTTCTGGAAGTAAATTCATTGCTAGAAGGGAGTGGGGAAGGATCTACTTTTGTATGTGCATTGTAAACCTCTGATTTCTGTTCTAGGACAAGATGAAGCCAATGAATGAGAAATTATGTACACAAGGGTGTGACTTGTTTTATAGCAAAAACTGCTCCTGACCCCGCTCATGTGACTGGAGTTGGCTGCAGTGAACATTTCTGGAGGGCAGTAGCTTTTAACATTTTTACTTTATTAAAAACTGATTATACTTCTCACTTTCTTTAGGTTTTCTAAAGAGCCAGGCACATATAAGTTTAGTATTACTCTTAGGAAGCAAATGTTTGAACCAGATGTTTCTAACCTATGAATTTAAGAATTGTTGAAAAGCAACATCAGGAAAAGTAGTTCTTTTTTTGTGAGCACTGTGGGATGAACCAGACAGAAGGCTGAATTAGGTTAAAATACGTTTTTGCTAAGTTGCTTTTAGTTGAGATTAATTTCTTTTTCCTGGTCTCTTCCTGCTGCACTGATGCTGCAAATAGGATGGCTGAACTAAGGCTCAGGTGCTCGGATCCCGCTGTCCTCCTTCCTTGCACTCCAAAATCCTCACCTTTTTGCTGGGCCGTATTACTGAGGGAAAATGACACAAACATAGCTGCTGAAAGGCTTTAGATCATGTGTATGCTGCTCAGAGTGTTTCATGGATTGATGAAAAAGCTTGTCAGATGTTCTCTTCTGTAAGCTACAGTTTAAGTTAAAGGTTAATCTCGCCCCAGTAGGTGATGCTGGAAAAATAAAATGATAGAAATTTATTGCATTATTTATATCAAAACAACCCAAAACAATTGCTACATAAGCCTTCAATTTATGAAGAACTGTGTAATTTCTGAGGGTTTTCTTTTAATCCTGAATTAATTTATGAAGGTTTTCTTTTAATCCTGAATCACCAAGAGTTTCTTTTGCACTGTCCATCAAAGCTGAGGTAATGCATGTCAGCTGCACTTCACTACTGTTTGGAATGAGTACAGTTATGTAAGGAGGTTTGTTTTTTGCTTCTAAATATGGATAATGACCATTTATACAAGTTTCCAGAGAGATAGCAACCCAGGAACAAAGATACCGTGTTGCTAGCAACAGCTCTTGGTCATCAGACTGTGTTGTCAGAGAAAAACCTGATTTGCTTCTCTGTAATCTGTGCTAGTGGGAATGCATTAACTTCCTTTAAAAGGAAAGTGACCACAAACTACTGTAATCTAGAGAAGATATGGAATACATGATTTTGGGTTTGGTGATGCTAAACTCCACCTACTATCACTGTAGCTGGGGCATTGGGACAATGATGATTCCTCTGTGGAAATACTTTTTATAGCTATGGATATGACAGAGGGTGGGCTCCTGAATTAGGACTGAAGCTTCATAGAATGATTATCAACACACTTCCTACCCCAGGAAATAACAAACGGAAGCTGGAACTCCGTTTCCATTGCCCTTTCTGCAGATAGCTCAGGCAACTTGAGAAGTTTGAAAAACTTGAACCTTAAATAGCTGTTAAGATTTGATTCACAGTTGTGTAGTTGGGAATGATTTCTCTCGAATAGATCAGTACAAGAGCTTTTGTTTGCCATGTTAATTTGTCCTGACCGAAGCACCCCTTGCCTGTCCTGGCTCTTATCCAGTGAAGACTTCTTTGTTCTGAAGGACCAGTTCCAAACCATTCACAGGTGAACTGTTAGAAAGACTTTCTCATATTCTGATTTCCTACCCTGACTTTCCAGCTAAAGGTGTATGCAGGAATTATGGTAACTACACAAACCTCTACCTAATTAATGTATTCTAAAATAAGTTTTCCCATTACCTGCCTGTAATAACTTAAAGGTTGGTGCAGAATGTAGTATTACTCCTGGTTCTTTTGCCATTGAATCTTCAATGACCTAAGTATCATTTTAGAAAACAGTGTCACTAGTGGAGAAATCGGTTATCATATTTTGTACAGTTCACAAGCCATGGTTTTCTCACTCAGCTTTAGTTTTTTGCTTCAGAACTGAGGTTAACATCTGAAATCAGAAATATTTTATATGGTGTAAAAATTGCAGTGAATAGTCAGGTGATCACAGATAACTCTGTGATATTCTCTCTCTGACACATTCCCATTACAGTTCTGCCTGGGTCCCTTTTTCCCTTGAGAGGAAACTCAGCATTCTCTAGTGATACTAAATCTTTCCTACAGTCTTTCTAATCTGTTCAAAATGTATAATGAAAGTCTTTATGTTATTTTCTAATCCTTAGGAGAAGCAAATAAGATTGGAATCATGATCCAGAGTCCTGAAAATTTATTCTTGTTTATACTCTTTCCTCATCTCTGACTTGCAATAGCAGAAGAACCCTTTATGTTGACTGTGGTTCTCCTAGTATTCACTAAATGTGTGTTCTTTAAGTACATAGTATTTGAAACATAAGTAGCAATATAATACAAAGTAACATCAGACTTTCCATTTTGTTTACTCCAGGGAAAATATTTATCCCCAAGCAAAAGCCTGTACAATCTTTCACAGAAGAAAAATTCTCTCTTGATCCAGAACTGGAGGAAGCCTTGACCAGTGCCACAGACACAGAACTGGGTGACCTCGCAGGTGAGGTTTTTTGAAGGATGGATGGGCTGGTACATATTTAGAGAAGAAAGATCTATAATTAATGTGGTGGTGTATTGATCTGACTACAGGATGTTCTAGTTGTGATAGAAGCCACATTATGTTGTTTGCCAGTTTGCTTGAAGTGTTTCACTTTGTTGATTTGTGATAATTTGTGAGGAAGTTAATTATTTTGGCCTGCAAAAGGTACCTGATTTTCAGACTCAAAACCTTTAAATCCATTCCTCAGACTGGCTGGTTTTTGATGTGTATGTAACTGCTTTTTCTTGAATATAACAATGTGTTTGTATGTGCCTGTGTTCCTAAAGCTTCATTTTTGTGATTGAGCTGCACTTTTTAGTGTTGGTGCCTGAACCTGGTGAGGTCAGAACTTTCTAAGATGTGAAAGTTAACTAAAATGTCTATAATTAATTATTTTTTCTACTCTTTTTTTTTTTTCAAATAATTAAGATATTGAATGGCTTTTTGTACTGATAAGTATTGTACAAACATCAGGTTTTGTTATTTAAAGGAGCTCTGCATCTGACCTGAACTAGTCAGGAACAGCATAAACTGTTTTTTTGCTTTTTCCTTTTTCAGCAATACTGGGAATGTCCAACTTGATAACAAACAATCAGTTCTGTGATGTAGTAGGAAGCAGTAATGGGATTGACAAAGACAGCTTCTCAAGTAAGTGTGTACACAAGTGCTAGAAAAATCAATTCTCTGTACTGCACACAGTTGCTATGGCATTCACCAACATCTTTTTAGACTCTTCAATCTTAGTCTGGAAATGTGTATGCCTGTAACATTGCTAATTGAGCTCTGACAAGAGTGGAATTGAAATATACATACACTAAAGTGTCCTCTGCATTTAAGTCATTTTTTGGTGACAAAATAGGCATAAGCATGCATTGTGTGTGTGATTCTTAGGTTTTATATTTGTGTTTGTAATTGAACTCCTATGTGCTTTCTGGAAAAAAAAAAAAAGGCAGAAAGGCTGTGATGACTTTTGAAATTCAAAAGAATTGAACTTTGTGAAAATATGGTGAGGAGAGGATGGTATGCTTTTTTGTTGGGGGAGAGATGTAAATGCTGATGAAATGATCTTCAAATACAGTAAATATTTAGTATGTGTATAATTTATTCACAATGAATGTGTGCAACATGTTTGAAGACATTTAAATGCCTTACTTTTCAGATATAGTAAAAGGTGAAAAAATGTTGCCTGTTTTTGATGAACCACCAAATCCCACAAACGTGGAGGAGACACTGCAAAGAATTAAAGATAATGATTCTCGTCTTGTTGAAGTTAATCTAAATAACATTAAGGTAATTACCTGAAGGCTGCAGTAAATATGCTGCTTTTTCTCAGTAGAAGACACTTCTAGCTGCAAAACTCTCTAAGAGAGCATGATAGGCTTGTTCTAAGTGCAGCAATCTTTCTGCTGAATGTTGTAGTGTGTATAAGCTCAGAACCTGCAGCTAAACCAATAAGCCATCTTGGTTTCTTTTGCCAAATGTGTATTTAAAAAGTCTTAGACTTTCTCAGTGCCAGCCCAGATTTCTGTTGCTGCCAAGCTGGCAGCAGTTCCAGCAGCTCATTATCATGGAGTTAACTACTGTGTTGAATCCTTTGTCCTTGATGAAGCAATGTGCGCTCAGTTTCTATTGCAAGCAAAGGGATATTTGTGCCTTTCATCCTTCTGATTCTTGTACAAAAGGGCTGGTGGAAGTCAGGGCAGATTCTGCTCCTAAATGTAACAGTTGTGGTTTTACACATGACAAGCTTTTGTATATTTGCTTGAAAGAAACCAGAACTGCAGCACCCCTGACTTGCAGTGCAGACACCAGAGACAGCCTTGCCAGCAACCAGGGCTGCTTGTTCCCCTTACTAAGAGGGGAAATAAAATCCATGGTTTAAGAATACCATGTAACAGGTACATGCTAGCCAAAATAACTGCCTAAAAAGGCAACAGATCAAAGTTTCTGATACAATGAACTGAGACATTTGCTACCCTAATTAATTCTTTACAATTATTCCTTTTAAGCTTGGTTGCTACTATTCTATAGAAATGATTGCTTTATAGAATTGGTGACTCTTCCAGCCATTGCATCTTAGGGTAGGTCTTCACTGTGAGACTGCTGGAGACCAGTGGTAGTAAATATTGTAGGGCATTTTGCTGTAAAGGGAATAAAATAGTAGGAGAAGTTGTGGGGAGGGGATAAACTTGTGTATCTCAAGAGAGTGAAATGCTATTTTTAATTCAAGAACATACCAATTCCAACGCTGAAAGAATTTGCAAAAGCCTTAGAAACCAACACACATGTGAAGAATTTCAGCCTGGCAGCCACCCGAAGCAATGATCCTGTTGCTGTTGTAAGTACTCATGAAAACAGCTTTGAGTGGGGTGCAAGGGAAGTTAGGATGAAAAGACAATGGTAAGGGATTGAATTTAATCCAGTTTAAATGCTCAGGGATGAAAATGTTTCCATTCTGCTACACTGTAAATTGTGTTTTCTTTAACAAACCTTTGTTGTATCTAAGTTGGTAAATGATTACTAGTAACTTAATATGCAGCAATGCTTCAGATGTGTGAGGGAGAATTCTTTTTTCCAGTCCCTTTCCCTGATTTTTCATTTCACTAACCTCCTTCCTTTTTTTCTTTCTTTCCTAATTGTTTAGTTCCTGCTGTTCATTCCAGTAGCCAATAGTTCATTCAAATTTAATTTGCAAGAAGCACATTTGAGGACTTAAAAACACCTGTAATATTTTTTAACTAACTAGAGTTTTAGTTGAAGTTGTAAAATACGTATTTACCTCCCTGCTACCAAAGATTGGCTTAAAATATTGGTCTGTAAAGCATAATAGTAGTCAAAAGTATCTAGCTTGATACAATTGAAACTTAAATATAATTTATTGTCAGGTTGTTTTTTCTATGTTGAATTAAAGCAGTACCTTATTTAATTACAAATAAAGAGGTAAGAAAACAAAGCTAAATGTTTTGCCAGGACAATCCTTTGCAATTGTTTTAAATTCAAGTTAGAAAAAAAGCAACTAGTTTGAAAGACTCCACTGAATGAACGAATGAGCATTTGAAAACTTTGGGTTTGGGTCAATTAAAAAGTTTCTTTTCAGCAGGACTAAAACGTTTAATAAAAATATATAAAGGCTTCTTTTCTCAGGTGTGGTTTTGTTATATTTTTTTTTTATTGTGACTTGATAGAAAAAAAATTCAAAGGGTACAATTTTTCTGCCAGTAAACTCAGCAGTTAGCCATTCCTGTTTTCTTCCTTTCTCAGAAATAACATCAGGTATAAAAGTGCCTTTAGCTACATCCTGCTACTGTGCTTAGAGCTTTGAATTTTACCTCTTCCTACCAAATCTGTAGACAAAAGCATTTTCAAAGTCAGATCTCCTGTTTACAAATTAACCATATCTAATTCTCCTCTCAGTTGACTAATGCCCTTTCTTTGGCCTTTGCTTAGCAGCCTGCATTGCTCGTTGTGTGCCGTGAAGGCTTACAAAATGGAATTGGTCCAATATGCTAATTTCAGACCATTTATATTCTGTGTAGCTTTTTGGTTTGTAACAAGAGAAAGACAGGCCTTCTCTTGACTGAATGCTACTTAAGAAGGGAATGTAGATAATGCCTGGCTAAAGAGTCATCTCAGTGTCAGTAAGTGAAAGCTTGCAAAGTACACCTTGCATCTCTGAACTTGCTGGTTCCATGGTACTAGTTAGTGGAAGTGGTTATTGCTGTGTCCTTTGAGGTACTGCAGCAAAATTCAAAAGTTTAATGATGCTTTCTTATATTCAAAGGCTCTTGCAGATATGCTGAGAGTAAACACAAAATTAAAAAGTTTGAACATAGAATCAAACTTCATCACTGGAGTTGGAGTTATGGCATTGGTTGATGCGCTGAAAGACAATGAAACGTTGACAGAGATCAAAATTGATAATCAGGTAAGTGAGGTGGTGGTGATACCATAACTAAACAGCCAGTCCTAACTGACTGAATATTTTTACAGGACAGCTTGTGATAAACTCCTCAAATATTTTATGTTTAATTATCTTAACACCATCAACAATTGCCCTTGAGATTGTCAAAAGCATCCAGCTGAGGTTGATTTCTGTGCTTCCTTGTGCTTTAAAGTGTACAAATATATTTTAGGACCTTCTGCCTATTTGATTAACTAGAATGAAGCCGAGTGTTTATTGACTGATCTGGGGAAAGTATTTTGATCTCTTTCAAGGAACACACCTAAGCTCTGTTGTCTTTGTGTACATTTAATTTTAACAGAGGCAGCAGCTGGGCACAGCTGCAGAAGTAGAAATTGCCAAGATGCTTGAAGAAAACAACAAGATCCTCAAATTTGGATACCATTTCACACAACAGGGACCTCGAGCCAGGGCAGCTGCAGCTATCACAAAAAACAATGATTTGGGTAAGACCTGTCATTATTAATTGACTGGGTGTGTGGCACAGGCTTTCAAGGGGTTATTCCCCTTCTCTCTTGACAAAACCAGGATAGCACAAGATTAGTAGATCGGTTTCAGGTTTCTCCTGTGTTTTACTCCTTTATTGTTGCTGCTTGATGTTTTCTGTTTTGTTACAGGGTGTTCATGAGGGGAGAATTTTTAGCATAGTCTAGAACAAGAGCATTCAAATTTCATGTGGGTTGTGGCAAAGGGAGTGAAAGCAATAGTTTTGATCACCCAGTTGTATTCAGATAAGATTAATTTCCTCTTTAAAAGCAGTACTTGAAATTAACAGTGTAACAGTGTCACTGGGATTGCTTGAGCAAGGAAACTGAACATACTGTCATGTACAGAGGCTGGGAGATAAGATTAATTTCCTCTTTAAAAGCAGTACTTGAAATTAACAGTGTAGGTTGCCCTGTTCAATGCCAGTATCCCAGTGTCACTGGGATTGCTTGACCAAGGAAACTAAACATACTGTCATGTACAGAGGCTGGTACTGGGTAATCTCTCCCTTGGTGGTTCTGTTCATGTACAAGCAGCTGATAGCAGTGGCATCTTTGTTTGCTGGAGTTCATCAGTTAGAATCCTAATTAAATGGATCAGCAGAAAATTGGTTAATGACATAGCACATGAACAGAAATCATTTGTATAATAATATCAGATACTTGAGTCACTCACTACAAAATAATATCCATCTATTCAAGTATAGCTTCATTTTAAAACTCTGTATAATTAAATGTTTTTGGTTTAGATGCTTTGCAGTGACCTCTCACCAGTGTGAAAAGGGGCCACCAGTTTAGTAGCAGTAGTTAAGGAATATATTAGGGGGGATGACATAGGAAATTGGAATTTGGTTTACAGATCTGATTCCACTCTGAATAAAGGTTAAAGTGGAGGAGAACAGCTCTGAAAGATATAGATGAGTAACTAGAATAGAGCACAGAGAGATAAGAAAGGCACTCAGACACTGCATATCTGTTTCTCAAAACGGATTCTAAACCAGTTGGGTTTTTTATCACAATGCTTCAGGTGTCTCAGCTTTCTAAGGTTTTCTCTCTCACTAGTTCTCTTATTAGTGCTTGACTGTTCAAAATCTATGCTTCTGTTGATATCTTGCCTTTTTTCCTTTGCTTTCTTAGTCTGGAGTATGGGAGTAAAAGTTTCTGCAAATACCTTTTCATCTCTCCAGCCCTGAATCTACAGAGAAGGTTACTCTGAATACCCACTTGGGTATTGAGCCCTGAAACCGAGATGTTTGAAGTCTCTAATTTCTCCCTTTGTACGTTCCTTCTAAAAAAAAGTCTACATGTTTTTCTTTTTCCTTGCTCACACTGTGTTGTACCACTTCCCTGTTCTTTGTCTGTGTACTTTTAACTGCATGATTGGAGAAGTCTGGGGCTGGAAATTCTTTTCATCTGTTCTTGCAGTTTGATGAAAGCAGGTATGAATAACTTCTGCCACATACTTTCCATTGAGTGAATTTGAGAACACATTTACTTTCTTCTTATATAGATGTGCTTGCTTCACTTTTTTAAACAAAATGGAGATGTCCTTTATGTGTCCTAGAAGACCTTTAGTGCCATTTGCTTTGTCTGCACAGAAAAGGAAAATATAATTTGATAATGTGAAAACATCAAAAGTAATACAAATGTTGAGGAAAACCCCAGTCATTCAGTCAATATTGCATATTTTCAAATCTTAATAACGTGAGCTCATAGTTATTTTAATCATAAATTTTTATTGCTCTATTTTCTGACAATTGAATGTTTTTACTAATAAATAGAAGGCTTTAGGCTGTCGATTGTAACATCTGTGTGTGTATAAATTGTGTTAAATATACCATGAAACTCTTGTAGTGTTTCTTTTGAAGCCATGTAAATTAAATTCACCTGTAAAAAACTGCAAAAACTGTAAAAAAAGAATCCTGGCTAAATCTGCTTATCAGACAAAAGATGATTACTGTTTCCCACAAGTCCTTCCTTGGAAATATTTGCAACTTTTTGTGAATAAGGCGATAAGCTCGGCTTATTTGCTCAAAGTGCTGTTTAATGCTATGTGTTAGCTACCTTAATTTGTGGTACTTCACGTGACAAAGTGACTGTTCCTGTTACAGAAACACAAAAATAGTTAAAGTGCTAATACAGTAAAACTTCTCTTTCTTGTGTCCCTTGCTGCAGTTCGGAAGAGAAGGGTTGAAGGAGACAATTAGCGACGCCGATGGCAGAACCGCGGAGTCAGCACGGGCAGCACCGTGGGCTTCGGCTCTCTTGGACTACATTGACCTGGGTTAGAAGGGAAAAGACTGGAAACCCCATTCCTTTTGAAGCAAAGCAATAGAATCCTCTGCTGGTGTGCAGCACGGTTTTGGGATGGATGGAGACACAGTAACTGTGCCAGTCTCTGTACCATAGGTTTTGATTGGGTTTTTTTTAAGAACTTTTTTTTTTTTATTTCAAGACTTTGGCTGTGCTTTCTACTAAAAATGTAATTGCAAATCAATGGTATAATTGTCTGTAGTAGAAGAATGGGACTTTTAAGATGATTGGGCAGATGCTGGCCCAACTGAAATGTTTGTAAGAAAATCTGTGTATTTACCAGGAGGAGTGTGTATATTCCTGACAACAATTGCTAGAGAAAAGGGATTCTTCACCCAGCAGCTGCACTCGTGTACAGCTGCTCAGCTTTGCTCATCTGCACTGAAGAGAAATCTTTCACAGCAATGTTATTTGTAATTCTACTGGTTTATTTTTTATTTGTTCTTGATACTGTAATCAAGTTCAAAGGTATCCTTTTAAGCCAAACAAAAATAAATTGGCTAAGGACTTCTCCCAAGCAATTAGAGGGACTAATATAAGAATGGAAGCCTTGGAAAACAAGGAAAAAATTTGGGAGCCTTACAAAATGACAGGTCTTCTGTTACACCTAAATCCTGAAAGTCTTTTTCAAAAGGTCCCAGAACTGTGTCTTGCTTTGTATCTAAACTGGATACACATCTAGACTAATTTCATGTGTTCATCAGCATTATTTAGTTTATATTCTTTGTTTAAAAATTGTTATCTACATTCATAAGTATCAATTTCTCTAGAAGTAGTGGACATTCATATTTAAAATTTTGCATAACTATACAGGAAAAGCAGCCTTAACTGTAAAACCACTGGCCTAAGTTGCATTACATTAAGCTATTTGTACTTCATACAAATCTAACAGTTTTCAATAATGAAGTAACACTTTTAAGAAAGGATTTTTCCATTCTCTATCTGTCTTGATGTTGAAACACTACCTAAGAACCAAACCAATGTCGTGTCAGATCTCTAGGGCATAGTCCAAGTGTTTAAAGTTCTATAAGCAAGCTAATAAGGCAACAAGAATCACTTCAACTTCTGCACATAATCGCAGTACACTTTGAAATATGAAAATCTAGCAGCTCTTCGGTGTAGGTCTGTTTGGACTGTCTTGTACTAGTTTGCTTTGAGATCACAGAAGTGTTCTACAGGACTGCTTGGCTGTATTTAGAGCAACAGAGAATTCAACTGACAACTGTTTTCATCCAAAGATCATAATGTGATGAGCATTTATGTGTAGAAAACATACTGGACTGAGAATTTTGGATCAGGTTGTATATGCTATAAAAACAGAGCCAGTCTCTGACACTGTGCCCATGTTGTAATTTGCTGCAAGTCTTGGTTTGGATCTTTAAAGACAGCCTTTATTCTGGAAGTGGCTTCAAATTTCCCTGCAACTGTACAGAGAATTTTCAACTGTAGTGCCTTCAGTGGGGATGTATATAACTGGTTTATATTCGTGGAAGAACCTTTTTCCCCCTACTTCTAGATCGGCGTTTTATTAGAATTACAAATAAATGTGTGCTCCGAAAACCAAGTTGGAATGAATTCAGTTAAAACCAAAGACTACACTTACTGTAACCTCACAACACCAGAAGTGTTCTAATGAGTAACAAAAAGGGCTTCTTTTGGTTTGGGCTTTTGTAAATTTTCAAGAAATTTTTAGATTTTGAAATAAACTTTGAAATAGTTCTCATACAATATGCATACAGTCAGAAGTTCAGTGTATTTTTATAGACAGACACTGCTGTACAAACATGGCCAAAGCATGTCATGTGCTGAGTTGCCTAAAGCTGTACGTTACTTTTGATTTGCTAGGCACCATAATCATTTTGTGTCAAAAAGCAGGCTGTAAGGTCTTCCTTCAATTGTTGAAGGGCTGTGTGTTCACAAATCTGTTCATGTATTGGGATTCTGTGATGAATTGTTTTATCACTACCTAAAAAGATTAGGCAGTTATCTCCTACTTGAAAATGAAGGAGGAAATTGAAAGGCTGGATGATGGAAATAATAGCCCAAATCCCTTTCTTGCTTTTACTTAATCAAGTTTGGCTGTTTAATTTTTTATATTCCAATCGTTTCTGCTCTCAGGTGTCCTGTCACAAATGATAGTTAAATGGTTTAACTCTGTCGATAACAGCTAAAAATTTGACTACTTGTGACTTTCAGGACAGATACCTGGCAGGCTGGGCATGGAAAACAATTTTTTTCAATCAGAAGGGTTTAATCATCCAAATTGTTGCAAGCCTTTTGGTGTGGTGCATGGAAGAGTTAACAGCAATCACTTTTGTGCCTGCAGTGTGTATCCTTTTTGGAATAAATGAAGAAATTCAATCTGTAGCCAGGATTTTTCAGCAGTCTCAGCAAACAAAGTGAACACTGATGTAATGCCATCGAGTGGGGTGAGATCCTGCCTATGATTTCACCGATTGTGATTGCAGGAGTGGTGTTACTGTGATAGCCAGTTACATTAACACAAGGTCTTTTTCTGAAAGAGATACTGTTTTCTTACTGATTATTTTCCCGGCTTAATGCAGAAATCAAATGACTGCATATGTTGATTGTGTTGGTTCCAAGCTAAGCATGGAAACATAACCAATATTTCAGAGCAATTACCTATTTACTCTTGTATTTTAAAGAAATAACCTCACTCTCTCTGTAACTTGAGTAATCCTGCGTTTGTAAGCTACAAACGAGCAACTGTTCGATTTAAATTTCCATTGGGGAAGCAGGTATTGAGTATTTTAGTATATCAGCACTATATGCTGGGTCAGATTGTAAAACAGCTACTAATCTTTGGATGATTAAAGTACTGTATTCTTGTGGCTTCGGGGTTTTGTTTGTTTGCTCTGTTTTAGGTCTGTACCGAGTTGCCTGAAGCCCTCGTGTTTCCATGAGAACAGCGCCTTTCCCGGTCCCGCCGGGCGGGGAGCGGCGCGGTGCCGCTGAGGGGAGGGGAGGCTTTCCCTCAGCCGGGGCGGGCGATGAGAGCGCGGGGGCGGCGCCTGCGGGGCCCGGCCGAGCGCCGCGGGGAGGGGAGGGCGGCTGCTCCGTGCGGGGCGCTGCGGGAGCGTGCGGAGGTGCAGCCGGGCACCGACAGCCTTGGCCCCGGCCCCGGCCCCGCGGTGCCGCTCCCCGTCCGGGCCATGTCCCGTCACGGCCGCGGGCGCGGCCCCTTTAAGAGGAGGTGCCCCCTTTGAGGGCGGCCGGCGGCCTGCGCGAGCGGCGCTCGGTGTGACGTCACTGCGCGGCGCCGTGGGGCCGCTCTGCCGCCATGGCCGACATGGCGGATCTGTTCGGCAGCGACGCGGACTCGGAGCCGGAGCACAAAGGTGTGGGCGGCTTCTCGCGCTCTCTCTCTCTCGTTCGCTCTCTCTCCCTCCCTGTCTCTCTCCCTCCGCCCGGGTGCCCCCGCCGCGGGCTGTGCCGCCCGCCCCGCCTCGCCTCTACCGCGGCCCCGGGCGCGGGCGGCAGGGACGGAGGGAGGGAAGGAGCGGGCGAGCGGCGCGGGAAGGTTGCAGGGAAGGTTGTTCGGCCGCAGCCGAGCTCTGGAAACAGCGGGACACCTGGTTTAGGTCCCTGGCGTTTTAAAAATTCTTGTACGCGTTCTTGTAAATTATTTTTCAAGGCAGGTGTTCTTTTATTTTCCTGTTGGAAGCCGCATTTACCAGCCTCGGCAGTGAGGAGTAGCTCGATTGTCATAAACCTCCCTGGGTAGATGACTTGGATTAGATACAGAGTGACAGTTTTGGATTTGTAGGGTCTTATAAACCGCGTTTATATAGTTACTTGTTTAAGTCCTCACTATTTCAGTTGTTACTTTCGTTTGTGTAACTCTTTATTGCTTCTACAGTTTTAGAATCTTAGACCACAGCTTGTGGTTTGAAACTTTTTGGGCCATGGATCATTTTTCATTGTGCCTTTCTTTGGCTGTGCCTTTATCAGCAGCTATTTTATTTCACTATTCTCGCTCACTTTGCCGACCTTGCTGGCCGCTCTGTGTGGGTTCTCTCTGGGGGCTGGGTTCTGTTTTCGGGGTCCTTGTGAAAGCCGTGCGCATCACCTCACGTGCATCCTCAGAGGAGCATCCTGACTCCTGAAGGGGCGGTGTTTGTTTTGCAGACTCCGACTCTGGCTCTGACTCCGATTCCGAGCAGGAGCACGCTGGCTCTGGGAGCAACGCCTCTGGCAGCGACAGCGACCAGGACGACGACAGGGAGGCCATCAAACCCAGCAACAAGGAGCTGTTCGGAGACGACAGCGAGGACGACGGGGCGTCCCACCGCTCGGGGAGCGACAACCACTCCGAGAGATCCTACAACCGCTCCGAGGGCTCGGGGCACGAGGACAACGAGGACAACGAGCAGTCGGACGGGGAGCAGCACAGCGCCTCCGAGGCCGCGCACGACGAGGACGAGGACGAGCGCGAGCACGGCTCCGAGGAGGGCAGCCATCGCTCCGAGGGAGATGCCTCTGACAAGGCGCACTCCGAGGACGAGAAGTGGGGCAAGGAGGACAAAAGCGATCAGTCGGACGATGAGGAGAGGCAGCAGAACTCTGACGATGAGGAGAGACAGCAGAACTCTGACGATGAGGAGAAGGTGCAGAACTCGGATGAAGATGAAAGGCCACAGGTGTCTGATGATGAGGAAAGACTCCAGAACTCGGATGAAGAGAAAATGCAGAACTCTGATGATGAGGAAAGGCCACAGGCCTCGGATGAGGAGAAGATGCAGAACTCTGACGATGATGAAAGGGCCCAGCGGTCTGAGGAGGAGAAGATTCAGAACTCTGATGATGAGGAAAGGGCCCAGCACTCTGATGAGGAGGAGCAAGAGCACAAATCTGGTAGGAATGAATACAGAAATAATGATTTGCTGCTGGTTTGGGTCTTTGTTGTTTTGGTCATGTTGGCCTGAAAAGATTGAAACTTCAATGTAAGGGCATTGATTTCATAGTTTTTAACTATAGTCATTTTTGCAATTTTTTTGGTGCAGCACTTTGAGAGCTTATTAATAGAGAGGAATTTTTAAATTTGTGGATCAGAATTTTTAATTTGCTGAGAATAATTATGCTCCTTAGAGTCTGCAAGGGGCAGCGATAGCGAGGATGAAGTTCTGCGAATGAAGCGGAAGAAACCAATTGCATCAGATTCAGAAGCAGAGAGTGACACAGAAGGGCAGAAAGGTAAATGCTGGGGAGGTTTCTGGGGTTTTGGGTCCTTTAATCCTCCTTCTGAGCCTGCCATTCATCAGCTACAGGGCTTGATAGAATTGGTAGTGTTTGCTGTATGGTGCCATGGAAATAAGCAAACAGACATCAGGAATTCTGTGTGGGATGCACATGCTGATCCTCTCCACATAGCTCTGTCAAGTTTTCTCTTCTGTAAATACTCTTCCATGCATTTTTACTGAAAGATTTGAAAAATGGTTCCTTTAGTCAGAGCACCCCAGGGAACCTGTACTGTGCTTTGTGGTTTTGGTTTAGCTGCCTGAGGAAGAGGCATTTATTTTCTGAGAAGTAAAACCTCCAAAATGCATAATGAAATTTCTTTACTTCTGTTCAGTTACTTGAATAAGGATTATCTTACACTGTTCTGTTGCCATTTTTCAACTTGATTTCCTTATTTGATAAGTAATCTTGCATTAGGGCTGTGTGTGCATATATATGTGTGGTTTAAAATTGTAATTTTTCTGCTGAAGAGCATGCAGATGTCATGGATCTGTTTGGAGGTGCCGATGACATTTCCTCAGGGAGTGATGGAGAAGACAAGCCACCAACCCCAGGACAGCCCATTGTGAGTGGATTTGACTTTTGAGATAATTAACATACCATTGCACTCTGAAATGCAGAACACCAATTGAATTGGGTAATATTCTAGTGAAAAAAAGAGTAGTGGCATTAGGTAGCATTACAGATTATTTTGTCCCAGCTGAAAGAATTATCAAAATTTGATAAATAACAATATCAGATTTAATCTGCCTTCCCCCATCCCTGCTCCACTTTCTGAACTTTAAAAAAATATAAAGAATAGTTTGATTGCTACCAAATTAAATACAAAGCCATAGCTGTCTTTGGCACCTTATTGCAGCTATTTGAGAAATATTTTCATTTTGATGATAATGTTTCATCTTTTATGGGTGATAATAAATAAAAATACCTTCTTTAATCTTTTAGAAAGTGTCCCCCAGTTTCCAGTGCTCAGCTGAAAACTGTTGGCTCCTTTGCTGTTCTTTATTGTCTTTGGTCTCTTGAGTTTGTACTGTGCTTGAAGTCACTTAAAGTGCCACTTGACAATGCTGAGTTGAATTCCTCTCCATGAAAATGCCTGAATTCTTTTATCCAAATCTTCCTGATCTCTCTGTGCCTATGAATGACTTTTCTTTAAGCAAAATGTAATTATTAGAGCAGCAATAGCCAGATTTTTTCATTTAGGCTCCTGTTCTTTTTTTTTCAATAGGATGAGAATGGGCTGAGTCAAGAACAGCAGGAAGAGGAGCCTATTCCAGAGACCAGAATAGAGGTAGAAATACCAAAAGTAAACACAGACTTGGGTAATGATTTGTATTTTGTGAAGCTGCCCAACTTCCTCAGTGTGGAGCCCAGGTAATTGCACATTAAGTACAAGATTGGTAAAGTCTTTTAGTGTTTCCCTATATTGCTTTTGTTTAGTATGTGTTTACCCTATTTAAATTTGTTGACATTAAGATGCATATTTTTGGTTGTGATTAGTCAATAGTAATGGCTGTTGTTTTCTAATCAGGTAATTTTATTATGAAGGTGGGTTTCAGCTTGATTGAATAACTTATTGTCTGTAAAAACCAGACAAAAATGTGGTTTAATGGAAAGCACATGCAATCAGTTGAATTGTAAGCATAAGTTTAGGCTCTCAGAGATGTGAAAGGCAAATGCACCAACCCTTATGCACTTTCCAGTGATTAAAAACGTCATTTTGAATTTCAGAATAAGGCCATTTTTATTTGTGTATGTTAAATGTACTGTTTATGAAGAGGCTGGTTACTTGTTTTCCTATTCATCTAACCCAAACTGAAAACATTTACTGGAATGACTAAGGAGCAGCAAAATCTATTACTAGAGCTGTTTGTGATGTTAGGTTTGGCCCTAAAGGCCTCCTTCAGCACTTGCAGCACAGTGCTGTTGAGTCTGATTGTTCTGCTGAGCAGCTTTCTTGCCTTGTCCCCAGGGTGCAGCTTGAGCTGGCAGCACAGCCTTGTTGGGCTCACACCTCAGCTCAGTCATTCTCCTGGGCTGGGGCTCCAGGCTGTTTCAGGGAGAACTGTTCCAAATCTGGGTAGTGGCTGCTGCCAGTGGGAGAGCTCCTGGTGATCTCTGGAGGTCAGACAGGACTGAAAACAGAATGGTACCATAGCAGAGTCCATCGCTTTTCCCTTGAGCAGCCTAGGAGCTGTGGGGAAGGAGGTTAGGGAAAGGGTTCCCCCACTCACTCACTTGGTTCTGCAAACATTTTGTGGCACAGTCATCAGATTTTTTGATGGAAGAGAGGAAAAACAATCTCATCTTCCTTTCTCTGTGGTTGGTTTTGAGATTGAAATAAAAACAAAAAATCAACAAAGATTGCGCTCTTAGAAAATTTTCAATTCACCTCATTTATGAGATATTTTTCATTTTATTTTCCCTGTATGATCTCCTGTATTTTTTGTTCCATGCTTAACCCTGACCTCATCATGCTGACATAAGGAAACAGAATTTTCTGAGGCAGACCTGTTTTCTTCAGCTGGCTCATTCAGAGAGTGTGAATGATACACTGTAGCTGATGGTAGAGAGGGCCCTTGGGTCGGGCCCCCAG